GGGTGCGAAAAAGTTTGAATTTTTTTTTTTTTCTGGGTTTTGTGTTAATGGCGACAGAGGTGTAAATGGTCCATTAGTAGTTTGTGGTTGAGTGAAAACTAGTAAAGAGATTAAAAGTAGTGTTTACTGCTTCTCTTATTTGTTGAAAAGAAAAAAAAATGAGTTTCGTCGTCGGAAGTGGGAGTGGAAGCGGCGGAGACGGTGGTGGTAGTCAACATCACGACGGTTCTGAAACTGATAGGAAGAAGAAACGTTACCATCGTCACACCGCTCAACAGATTCAACGACTCGAATCGTAATCATTATTATATCTTCTTCCTCTCTTAATTTTGTTTTTTTTTTGAAGAAATTTCTGGTCAAAATGATAAATCTTTGATTCTTGTAGGAGTTTCAAGGAGTGTCCTCATCCAGATGATAAACAGAGGAATCAACTTAGCAGAGAATTGGGTTTGGCTCCAAGACAAATCAAGTTCTGGTTTCAGAACAGAAGAACTCAGCTTAAGGTTTTTGTCTCTCTTTTGAGTTTGAAATGTAATCAAGCTCTGGATTTTGATTCTGTTTTTTTTTTGGCAGGCACAACATGAGAGAGCGGATAATAATGCACTAAAGGCAGAGAATGATAAGATTCGATGCGAAAACATAGCCATTAGAGAAGCTCTTAAGCATGCTATATGCCCTAATTGTGGTGGTCCTCCTGTTAGTGAAGATCCTTACTTTGATGAACAAAAGCTTCGGATTGAAAATGCACATCTTAGAGAAGAGGTTTTTGTTTCGATTGTTTTTATCTGATATTTTGATTCAAAAACATCATTTTGATTGTTAATCTTTTGAACAGCTTGAAAGAATGTCGACCATTGCATCAAAGTACATGGGAAGACCGATGTCGTCACACCTCTCGGCGCTACATCCGATGCATGTTTCGCCATTGGATTTGTCGATGACTAGTTTAACTGGTTGTGGACCTTGTGGTCAAGGTCCTTCACTTGATTTTGATCTTCTTCCAGGAAGTTCTATGGCTGTTGTTCCTACTAATCTGCAATCTCAGCCTAACTTGCCGATATCGGATATGGATAAGCCTCTTATGACCAGCATTGCTTTGTCCGCGATGGAAGAATTGCTTAGGCTTCTTCACACAAACGAACCTCTATGGACTAGAACAGATGGCTCCGGAGACATTCTTAATCTTGGAAGCTATGAGAATCTTTTTCCAAGATCAAGTAATCGAGGGAAGAATCATAACCTTCAAATTGAGGCATCTAGATCATCTGGTATTGTTTTCATGAATGCTTTGGCGCTTGTCGACATGTTCATGGATTATGTAAGTAGCTCAAAACATCCCCAACATATCATGTTTTTTCACATTTGGTTGCGGCATTTTCGTATAAAGTCTCTGTCTTTTTATTCGCAGATTAAGTGGGGAGAGCTCTTTCCATCTATCATTGCAGCGTCTAAAACACTTGCAGTCATTTCTTCAGGAATGGGAGGTACCCATGAGGGTGCATTACATTTGGTAAATTTTATTGTAATTTCTTCTGAAATTGTAATGCATCATTAGGTAGGATTTCAGGTTTCCTCATAGATAATAATAACTTTGCTTGGCTTGGCTATGTAGTTGTATGAAGAAATGGAAGTGCTTTCTCCTTTGGTAGCTACACGCGAATTCTGCGAGCTACGCTATTGTCAGCAGATTGAACAAGGAAGTTGGGTAGTTGTAAATGTCTCATATGATCTTCCTCAGTTTGTTTCCCACTCTCAGTCCTACAGATATCCATCTGGATGCTTGATTCAGGACATGCCAAATGGATATTCTAAGGTTATATAACTCTGAGTTTGTTGTTTTTCCGGTTTCTACTAAACTATGTTTCCATGTTACCATCTCCTCATATTGATGATTTGAATACAGGTTACTTGGGTTGAACATATCGAAACCGAAGAAAAAGAACAGATTCATGAGCTATACAGAGAGATGATTCACAAAGGGATTGCTTTTGGAGCTGAACGATGGATTACAACTCTCCAGAGAATGTGTGAAAGATTTGCATCTCAATTAGTACCAGCAACCACATCCCGTGATCTCGGTGGAGGTAAAGAACATAAATTTCCATTGGCTAATCTCATTTCTTAAAAGCCGACTTAACATTTTTGGAGCAACATTTCAGTGATTCCATCGGCGGAAGGGAAGCGAAGCATGATGAGACTTGCTCAGAGAATGGTTAGTAACTACTGTTTAAGTGTAAGTAGATCGAACAACACTCACTCAACCGTTGTAGCGGAATTAAACGAAGTCGGAATCCGTGTGACTGCACATAAAAGCCCTGAACCAAACGGCACTATCCTCTGCGCAGCTACCACCTTTTGGCTCCCAAACTCTCCTCAAAATGTCTTCAATTTCCTCAAAGACGAAAGAACCCGTCCTCAGGTACACACAATTCAAATCTTTACAAGTAAAAGAATCATCCAAATCTTGTTCATAATATATCATCATCTTCTTTGTTGTTGTTTGCCTTTAGTGGGATGTTCTTTCAAACGGAAACGCAGTGCAAGAAGTTGCTCACATCTCAAATGGATCACATACCGGAAACTGCATTTCGGTTCTACGCGTAAGTCTCGAATGATACCAAACTATTCTCAGGTTTCTTAGCTAATGAAAAATCTGTTTCTGTTTTTTCCGACTAGGCTTCGAATGCGTCACAGAGTAACAACAACATGCTAATCCTACAAGAAAGCTCAATAGACTCATCAGGAGCACTCATAGTGTACAGTCCAGTGGATTTATCAGCATTGAACATCGCAATGAGCGGCGAAGACCCTTCTTACATTCCACTCTTATCCTCTGGTTTCGCAATCTCACAAGACGGAAACCGCAACAGCTCATCGGCCTCTGAGCA